TCCCCCCCACCTAGTAGAGGGTCTCGGTACGACCTCCCCCTTTCCCAGCACCCCTCTACCAATTTCCCACATTTTCCAGTTTTTCATCTAAAGATTTTCCGTCGAGCGGGAGGGGGGGAGGGAAGTGGGTATACAACCAATATAACGGAAAAGTTTATTACTTCCTTACCACTTTTTCCGGAATTTCCCTGAAAAGTTTCCTACTTTTCCTCAAGGATTTCGCTGTCGAGCGAGACGGAAAGAGGGAAGGGGGCACAAAAATTTTCCCCAACGCGGCAAATTTCTCTCAGAGCTACATGACCCTCCCCCTCCCCATCCGAAAAGTACGACCCCCTGTGTGCTTCACACAACGATGCTGTACCGTGTTCGGAAAAGTGCTGCCCCCTTACGCATTCAATCGTGGATCGTAGTAGCCCCAACCCGCTTTTGCACATTTTTGTGTTAATGGTGCGAACGGATTGATAAACGTGTGGTAGACAGATTCGGAGCCCCGAATTCAAAAGAGCGACACTTCTAATCGCTAGGCTACCCAAGCTCCATGATGTTCGAAATATCATCAATGTGAGAGTAAAGCCACCAGTGATCAGTTAATTAAGTCTCTGCAGGGTATACGCTACCTTTCGAGACCGCAAGTGCCTCAATTGCAGTGATAGCGTCGCGATCAGTCGGGAAGATTCCAAAGGAGTGAGCCTATTCGCGGCGCTTCTGCCACTGGGTTGTTTTTTTTTCTAAGTCGATCATGAGCAGTCATCATTGGTCGAGCAAGGCAACAGAAGGAGGGCTTCTTCCGCCCCTCCTGACACCACTCCGATTGATTGCGACATTATCAACTATATTCAAGTGTTTCAGCACTCTACCTACGGGTCAAGATCAGGGTCAAGCACCACGTTGCGGAAAAATGGCCCTTCGACACGACCCCTCTCCCTAACCGGGGTGTCCATACGAATCCCCCCTGATCTACGCGCCTACTACTTAGAAACAACATTGTGCAAAGCTGTAGCCGCAATTTGCGATTTCTAAGGAGCATCTATCACACAGTTACCGAAGTGTCTACGGAGGAGGGGCCACGGCTTTGCTCCAAAATTAACGGTGAAAATTTCTTGAGAGTGTGAGTTTTCAACCTTTCTGAAACCATAGCTTGGGTAGTGCAGGACTCAGTACAAAACAGAAGCAGGCTGCTCCCTCGTTGAGGATTCCTCAAAGATCGCCTGAGTATGGATTACCCACATACATTCAGCTTTACATTTTTTACCCACATACATGGCGCGACTCATAAAGGGAAAGCGGATGGCAATAAGTCTATATCTCTTTAGATGTTAAGCTACATTGAATCTGGTAGTTCTTCAGGCTAACACTGTTCCTGCTTGAGTGGACGAAGCACTGCTAGAACGCTGACGAAATATCGCTAGGCCAGCTCATACGGATGGCTTTGCAAGACTGAGTGGACAGCTTTCTCCACAGTTCACTATGGGGAACATGATTCTGAGGGGACTCACTTGGACGCAGTGTGAGACGTTATAATGTCATGAGAACAATCGATAGTAAATTTGTTTTATATAATTAATCCATATTCACATACAATTTACCATGCAATCAATCAATAGTGAAAATTTGCTTATATATACATAAATGTCCAAAGTGTGTGGAAATGTGGTGAAAAATACAGCTAGAAAATCGACGTCAGAGCAACGAAGCAGTGCCTAATAAAGGGCCGGTCTACTACCTATCTGTTTGTATCGACGTCAAATATGTACGCATACACTTTGCATAATAAGGCGAGGCTCATTAAAGGCAACTATTGGGGTTAAAATGGACATGGATTGAGCGCTTGAATCGTTAAGGCTAGATTCTATGTACTCGTCGTCAAATCAACACTACTTTCAAAGAACTCGGAAGAAAATATGAACAACCAAAAACGTTGTGCTTCTGGTCACCGGTCTGAGTTATGATTATTCGGATAAGATGTATTTCAGGCTGACTTAGCACAAGTAAGAGACATGGCATCCAAGGCGAAGGCAAGGCGTGCGCTCGCGAAGCGGCTCAAGAGTGATTACGACAGGTATGAAGCCGCAGAAAGCGCGTTGATAAGCGCACCGATACAATATGACAGCCACATGCGTCTTATTTTCTCCGCTCCTACACTGCTGCTTACTTGCTTTTCCTAGACTATGCGCATTCATGAGATGAGATCGAAGTATACAACTGGGTAAGCCCGGCCACCGTCTATACCACGCAGGCTTTCTGCGCAAACTTCTTATCGTCCAGTGATACGGTAGTCGGTCGAAATTCGATTTCCGCGTAGTGATGATCCGGTTCAACGGCAGTAGTGCAGGCGACAACCGTTGGCGAGACGGCGACACAGGGAAGTGTACGGTAGCGTCCACGAATTTGTGAAACGTACCGTTCCTGATAATCGACGACCGTGTCATCCAGCTCTTTGCATTTCTTCGATGGTATCACAAAGACCTGAAAACGATAAGTTGGAGAAGGACGGTAGCAGAATGACACACTGAAAGTGTGCAAGTTGTTTTGAAGGCTCAATCATGAGGTATCTAACAGCCCTAGTGCTGCTTTATCGGATTTTCTGGGCAAAGTATGCAATGAAAACATTTGGTATTATTGCCTCAGAAGGCAGTAAAGCAGGGGATGAAAAGAGCCACTCTGTACATCCACGAATTAATGTAAGACGTTTTCGCTACAGGCGGTGGGGCATGGCTAAAGGGAGAACACTGGGTTTCGTGGCGCCAGCCTTTCTCCACTAACTGTTGAAGCGGGCAAGCAACAGCAATTGGTGGAAAACGGGCTGGCACCGGGCCAAACCCAGCCCTCACCTGCCTGGTATGCCCCAGCGTCGTGCAGCAAAAAGGAGTACAACTCAGGCATGCCAGATTTTCCACTCAGTGATGCTGTGATTCCGACTTGATTGTGAGACATCTTCTTTCATGACTTCCAAAGAACCTGGTATATAACTCAAAGCAGTGAAACGAACCCACCCAAATATGCTAAGGTGCACTCAGTGTACACCGTAAGTTGTGGAATCCACACATGGGGAGGGGACCTATACTTGTTAGTTTAGCAAGAGTCTTCTCACTGCTGATTTTCCCCGCTCCGGTTGCAGTTCAACTGTTTCCAGCAGTTGATTGAGAGTTCATCCCGAACCCTCTCTACACTGACATTGGGTAGTGTTTATTGGAAGAAATGATAACGGAGGGGGAAGGGATAGGATGGTGGCATCGAGGAAGAAGATTTCACCCCTCTGTTTCCTAGGTGTTCTTCACTACATGCAGTTTACTTTTCTATCTCGCTTGACATCTTTGGGCTTCTCCTTCGTCGGATTTATGGCACAATAATCCTTGGTGATACCATCATTTATAGTGCTTCTATCAGCCAGTGGGTTCCAGAAGTGGTAGTGTGGAAGTAGAGCACAGAGCACAAGCACAAACGTAAACATAGAAACGGGTCTGTAGTGGCGTAATAAGTCAGCCGAGACTGAGGTTCACCTCAACTCATCGTGGCACATTAAGAAGTGCTCCAGCGGGTAAGGACTTCACCGAACAGTGGACTGCTCCACTAGGTTGTGAATTCACATGAACTTTATTACTCTTTCCTTCCTACAAGTTGCGAGAAGCCAGCGGGGCAGGGCCTCTGCTCAGGTGCTCGTGTGCCGGAGGAATTTCCTGCCGGTGTCGGTCAGATCAAAGGTGGCCGCCCACCCGTTGCGCAGTGGTGTCGGTTAATGAGACACTGATATATGCATGTTGCATGTTCAAAAGAGCTGACACACCTTGTACGCTTCGTCGGACGGTGATCGACAATCGATTGGCCGCTTCGGAAGTTCGTGAATTTGACGATGTTCGTTGATGGCGTTCTGCGTGATTGGATCGCGCAGCAATCGTCGCATTCTCTTGTATTTCAAGAAGAACACCACCACACACGTAGTCAACAACAGTATTGAAGCCATAGCTGCAATTCAATAACAAACTATGAATTTCCATGATCGATCTTGCAAGTTATTCAAGGGGAAAGCTAAAGGACCACTCACCCATTAGCATGAGAATTGTCGTATGGGCAGTTTTTTCTTCGCCGTCGTGGTGGGTGGCCGGGATGTCTTGCGTGGAATTGACTCGTTGCCAAAGACATTTTTCATCAATTACCGAACAGTCGCTACCAGAGAAACACTGCGGACAAATGCACGTCGAGCCGGTCAGGCATGATCCACCATTCCTGAAGGTTACTGTTAGTGGAGATTCTCAGATGTGACTAGGTTAATGCATAGCCAGCTCAAAATTGAGCCGAGTTGTAATTCCGAATAAGATACGTGTGACTAGTGGTTCCAGAGGCATCACATGGTGATTTTATGCCCTACTTTCTTGCATGGATTTCTCTGATTTTTCAGCAGAAAGCGGCGGTAACAGTCTCAGCAACCGGAGGAGACTTTTAGATTACAGGGTTTTTGGAGCTTCCTGACAGGAGTCACTTCAAACTTTGATGCGAGCGAACCGTAGCTACTCGTAGATAGATGGTTCTTTCAATCAGGCTCCCCTATCGGGACGTAAGTAGCTGCGGTGTCATCCATTACGCTCCCCTCTCTCTCTCCGGGAATAGGTTCCGGTACCACCTCTCCTTGCTGCTCACCACTTCAACTCAATACGTAGTCCTCTTACACGGACTTTACCCTACCGTCGAGCTCGGAGGTGGATACTTAACGCGCCTGAAAGGAAAATTGTAGAAACTAAACCAGAAGCCCTCTCATCACCAAATACCACACATTCCCCTTCCCAGAGGGCTCGGGCGAGTCTCAGAGTATGACGCACCCTCCCCTTGATGGAGTTCGCACGACGACGGTGTTAGCTATTATTTCGTAGCAAACCGACTCACACCAGCGGTCGCTGGACCTCAAATGTCACAGACCCTAATTAGCAGAGAAGCCCATGTTCTTAAGGATATATACCGGGTAAGAGGATTTTCGTTATGGAATGACCACATTTTTTCGAGTCAGGTTTCTGTACCGAATTTCTAATGGCTGCCTGTGTTCGTGGTACACTTGGGAGAACAGTCATCCTGTGGGTGAAGAGGCACTTTACCAGCGGCCCAAGTGAAAATGAGTGCTACGGGCTTCAGAAATTCTGGTCCCTCCCTCCCCTACTCCCCGCGTGTTGGCTTCAGGGCCAAGAGACTTTAGCGGACTCGTAATCAAGAAACTGGTGCACCAGTTAGAGCAAAAATTCCTCAAATCTGAGTACACCTACGGACAGTAAGCTTTTTTGGGCAGTCAGCTAGATTTGAACCGTTGAAAATAAAATATCAAGAAAAGATTCCGAAGAATTCAACTCACTTGCAGGTACCAGCGGTGCACGCTTCATTGGTGGCGGCTTTTCTTCGTTCACAATACCGTCCCTCAAAACCGTCGGTACATTCGCATCGGCCCAATTTCGTGTCGGCGGTCGTACAGAGTCCACCTGTAGAGGGTGAACTGGAGAGATGAAACTCAAAACTATCATCAAATGGGCGCGCTGGTCGAAGCCCATTCTTCTCAAGGATAATGACCCCCGCTAGTGGGGTCTGCCGCAGTCCGTATCCGCCCTCTCCGCCCAACACACCATCACAGCCCTCCGTTCACCATGCACTGTTACCCGAATCGTACGGCTCACATTTAATGTAGAGAGTGATTACCATCACAATACATGGCCAGCGACACGTTGTAGCAACAGTGCAGAGCACTATGGCCAGATGGTTAGCGCTCGCGCGGCTACAGTAGGACGGACGTTAGAGGACGCTTTTTTCGGATTGCGGAGAACTTCTTTAGATTCTTCAACCTCTAGTGCACAGGGTGGGTGTGGCATAGGATAGCGATGGAAAACAATTGAGATGCTTGCAGGAAGTGCCGGGAGAGAGAAGATATCGTCAGATCCGAAAGAAGTAAGATGAAGGCAGAATGAGGGGGAGGAACGAGAATGAAAAAAGATGGAGATGAACAGTGTAATAGAAGTAGAAGGTGAAAAGCAGACATTTAAACCTGAAGCGAATTAGAGTGAGGGAGGGGAAAGAAATGGGAAGATTGGCTGCAGTAGGGGCAAAAATGAAGGGAAGAGAATAATTAAGGGAATGAAAGGAAGCTGTAGGGAGGGTGGGCTGGGAGTGAAAGCAAACCAGACGAGGCAAACAAAGGAGAAAAGGGCGTGAGACAAAAGAAGGAGCGGGAGAGAAGGAGTGAAGGAAACGATGGGTTTGTACTCGTGACATCAAGACACATTTTGAGAATACCTGTAAGAGTCAAATTCTTGTGCGGGAAAAGTACTGTGGTCCACAATGTGCAACCTTTGCTGGCGCGTCATAAAGTAGGAAAGAGCCAAAGCGCAAGGTTGCTGAAGTGGCTCCACCCATGCGCAAGTGACTCCGCCAACGCCCTTGCGCGCTATTTTGTCGCTTTGTCGGGATTTCAAGGAATCATGACTCTCGCTCAGAATGAACCACAACATTGAGGGTCTGGAAGCACTGAGTGTGAAGTGTGCTGGAAGTTACGGACCAAACTAATAGTTCCTGATACATTATGAATTCGAGTCAAATTCTTCAACAACCTAAGTACTGTTATTCTCAGTAGGAGCGCTCTGGTACGGTTCTCCTTTTTGATGGTGCACTTACTACTTCATTTAGGAAGGGGATCACTGGCACATGACTTTTCTCTTCAACCCGCTAATTACGACTTACAGTAGCGAAATGTGGCCCAGATTCGGAGCCTGAATTACTGAACGAACCGCAAGCGGGTTGAAAAATGGAAGGTCAACTGGCTAGAACCAATAGGCCATTTTTTGCAAGCATTGTGTGGTTCAAAAGTAGAAACTACGCACCTACTTACGGCTCCAAACAACTCTCGTCTACACACGATCACCCACGCTCCCACTTCCTACGGCTGCTCAAAGACAGTCACCTCAAAGCAACAACGTCTCAAATTTATAGCGCTTGAAACAACCATCACATACAGAACAGAAAGTTCGGTATAGTCACGCGGTCAGTACTTACAGTCGTGCGGGCCAATATGCTCAATTTCATGGAAGTAAGTCAAAGGATTAATGAGAAAACTCACCATTGCGACAGATTCCTTCATGCTGGCAAATGCTGGGCAATCGTCGATTCACAACACGTGGTACCGACGTAACCTTCCGGACAACGGCAAGTGAAGTCACTTCGGACACCACCATTCGTGCAGACACCTCCATTTAGACACGGCTCGTGACGAGTACAGTACTCAAGGTCTAAAACGATAATTATACGGTGACTTTAAGAGAACTGAAACTCACTCCAATAAAGCAAGTGGAAATCAAATAGGGTCGAGTGAAACAGAGTGGAAATCAAAGAGGCTCGAGTAAAATAGGGTGGAAATCGGAGAGGGTAGAGTGAAATAGCGAACAGAAAGACTGGAAGCTGTTTGTAAGCGATATAGACTCAGCCACTAGCGTGAGTGATGAGGACCATTTTCACTCCTACTGTTTTTCGTATTTCCTCCCTTGTCCCATAGCTAGTGTCTTCTGATGTAACCCACTGCAATTTCTATTCGTACTTGTTAAAAGCATAAATAGTCCTGGCGCTCTCAAGAGGTATGACCTGCCAATGTCGTTAAATTTATCAAAAACTTCATACTGCTATGAACTCAGACCGTACCTCGTTCGCAGAAGATGCCACCCCAACCCGGCTCACAAGCGCATGTGAATGGCTGATTGTCTCGACATTTGCCATGACGACACTTCTCGCTGCGACGACACTAAATTTCCAGCATTACTGTATAGATTACTAAAAATGAGAGGAGAATATTCGAATTTGTTTCACAGGAATGCACTCTGACCTCTTTGCAAGTGGGTCCGAAGAATCCGTGATCGCACTCACATCTGCCCGGCTCCACGCAGCGCCCATATTGGCAGCCGTCAGGGCATATGGCTGAATAAGAAACCAGTTTAAAATTCAAGCTTAAGGAGAGTGTTCTCAAAACTGAACAGAATTTGCCAGGAAAAATTGCTTTGACATTGTATTTGAAAGTTCGGCCGAGTTGCACTGTAGCCACTTAACCGGTCCCGTGACTAGAAGGTTAGTTATCCCGGGCGGAAACGGAGACTAAATTTGACACGGAGAAAGCTCATATAATAGGGGCACTTTATTTTGGGTGAAAATCCATTTGAAAAAGTGAGAGTGTCTTTTTGCTCTCTTTCTTTTTATTCTTCCCCTCTGCTTCCAAAAATTGCTTCTCCACACCATTTCACTACCTTTATGACTATGTTTTGGTTGAAAACATAAAAATCTGGCGCCAAAGAGTACGTTGCTGCCATTTTTTTTATCGGTACACTGGATGCAACACGCCTTGCGGTAGCATGAAAACAAAGTCCCAGCGTTGTTCCCGCTTTTTAGGTTGCGGTATTAAAATTATTAGCTTTGGGAAAGCCGCTATTTATGGGAGGGCTATGGTTTTTTGCAAAGACTTGCGTGGACAGCCGATCTAAGTTTCAGTATTCTTATTCTCCCACCCAAAAATTCAACCGGTCCCGGAACTAGAAGGTTCAGTTGGCCCGGGCGGAAGCGAAGACAAAATCTGATACGGAGAGGGCTCGTATAATAGGGGCACTTGTCGCTGCACTACCTCCGCCCGCGTCTTGGGATATGAAGGCAAAAGCTAATTAAGTTGATATAAAAGCCCAGTTCGTAAAAAGGGGTGGTAGAACTTCATTGTCAGCAAGAGCTACGCTGACACCATGAAAAATTGGAGTAGAGCGCAAATTTAGCTTAGTAAATATGTCGAGACAAACAAAGAAATAATTAGTTGATCCGTTCCTTTCTTACGTACTGGAAAAATCTCTCATGTAATTCAAACCGATAAGACAGTAGGGCCTGCATTTGGTAATGACTTCTTGAGAAAGAAAGAGATAAGTAAGAACGAAGAATTAACGATAGCAAGGGATAGTACAATGCAATGCTTTGAATTTATGTGAGAGTTCAGCTAAACTTCATTCCTGAGAAATAATCTTGTGGAATTCCCCTTTACAGCTCACGGGCACTATACGGGTTTGCTACGCTTTCGTCGAAGTTAAGAATTAGTAACTATTTACCTGAACTAACATAGCAGTGAAAGCGTCTCAAAGCACTCAGTTCTCGTCTAAAATGTCGGTTTTTTTCCTACAGCAGCTGCACAGACTCGATAGGCCACTGATTTCCTAGTTCTGACTAGTAGTGTGGTACACTGGACATTACATTACATCCCAATGGATTTCAGTGGAAATGTCGGTTTTCCATC